TAAAGAAAACGACGTTTTATAAAACTGACATTTAATTTTGACAAATTGTTGTGAAGTTGGTTACAGTTAGTAACATTGAATTTGTGTCACATTGACGTTTAACCTTTATTCAAAAATTTATTTAAAAAATAAATTTATGGAATCAATTTCAATAGTCGTGGACAAAGTATAGTATTCTACTCGCATATAATGAGCTATTATTCAGTCAGGTTAATTATGCCCTCATTATATGCTCATATAATAATATACTATTTAAACGTACGTCCATATTTTGATTCATACCATTTTTAAGCGATGACTCACTGCCAGCCCTCGTGGTTTCTACTATACATACCGAAGTGAAAGATTTAGTTTGTTGTTTTTGCTCTAAAACACAACTCTCCCCATCTCTTATTAATTTATCTAAACCATATAATCTTTCACCTAATCCTTTTACTTCCTTCATTTCGGGATCATCAGCTAAACTTAAAACTTCTGCTATATCGACTCTCATTCGATTATGAACCTTTTCGTCAAACTAAAAAAAATGATTTAATTTTTATTTTTAATTCAACAAAAATCACGTCTCAACTTCAAGTCAATATTATTTTCAAAGTTATCGCATACAGCAAATAAACAAATAACTCGTTTTAAATATAGTCTTGGCACAAACATAAGGGGACAATAACAAAAATGCCATTGACCCAATCGTTTTTTTTAAGTAAATCTAATTTTAGCAGTGATAAAAATAAAAATTAAACGTTTACCTGTTGCAAACCCGTTGTGCACATATCAAACAATTGTTCCATTTGTTGATTACTTTCAGAACTTGTTATGTACTCTAAAAGCGATGTAGGTTTCATCGCATCAGCTTGAATTTCTTCCTCATCATTGCTAATATCTTCATCATCTCGATCGGCTACATCTTTTTCAGTTAAAAGTGCTGGTAATAACGGAATTTTGCTAAGTAATTTGAGATCTTCATTAAAACTAAAAAAATTTTTTTGCAAAACTTTTTTGTTTATAATTTTTAAATGTTACCCTTGAACTAAATGAATATATTCTCCATAACTGCTATAATAATGATTAAAAGTCTCCTCGTAAGATTCGGCGCGTTGTTTAAATTCCATCGTGGTATCCTCCAAATTAGCAACGACCGCCATCCAACCTTGTTGTTGAAGATGTTGATCGTGTACCAATTTTTTACATTGAGTCAGGTACTCTTCGGCTATATCATATAATTGTTCGGCCAATGTGGCCCTTCGAGCAACAACTGCGTGTGTCATTTCTGGATCTCTGACAGCATCATGTACTTTTGATAAAATTTCTATAATAAATAATAATACGAAAATTAATGAAATCGTAAAGAAAACGCTTGTTTTTGATTCACTTTCATATTTACAAATAAAAGGAGTTTTCAAAACAAATTATTTATTGTCGAAGGTCGGAACGTGGAAGTTATATCTATAGTTTAAAAACATACTATTTAATCTAATCGTATCAGTTTTTGTTTTTCTTAATTTATTTTTACCACTTTACAAGACAAGGGGAATAATACGATAAAATAAGAAATATTTAAAAAATAACATTCTTTAATCAAGAGTTGAAAGTTATAAAGAAACTAGGATAAATTTCGTAAAATCACAAATTAAAATCGTGAAAGATAATTTGTTCAATTAAAAAAAGTTTAATTGATAAGAAAAAGTGTTCATTGAATAAAAATAAACATTTAATCATTAAGGTAATTGTAAAAAACAGGTTGACTCACAAATAAATAACGAAGTGATTAATATAATAGTAATCTTAAGTCCTAAAAATATGTTCGTCGTTTACATTCTTAAGATTCATGTCTTTTAAATCATCTTTAACAAAAGATTGCAACAAACGTTGTGAAAAAATTTATATTTTTGATGTTATTAATAGTTATTAATTTGATACATAAGTGGTGATTACTCATCTTGATATACAAAGGTTTCTCATTTATGTGAGAATGTTTTTGTTAATGTGAGATAACAATACGGCAATATTATTTTTTAAATATGTTGAAAGTAACCTATCAAAGTTCGTTTAATAACGAGATCTGTTTAAAATTGTGTTATGAAATACTCCTGTTGAGTACTTCGTGGTTCATATTGCCAATGCTGTCAGGATTTCCTTCCTGCATTCTTCCAATCTTTTAAACTATGCCTCTTCTCCTACTATATGTCGCAGTCTCTCCCAGTCTACAGTAAATTTCACTTTAAATGCAATATACAAAAATATAGTTCCATAGAAACCAGGGCGAACCTACTTAAATAATCCCAAATAAAATGCAACATGTCTGAATGTTTCTGGTTGAAGGTCTAATGTTAGTTCTAGTGTAAGGTGAATGTAGGAAAGACAAAGGTTATGAAGTTCTGTAAAGGGGGTAGAAGGAAGAGCGAAGATTGGAGGTGGGAAGGGAAGGAGATAGAGGAGGTGAGGGAGTACACATATTTGGGGTACAGATTTAGAGAGGACAACAAGGAAGGCGCGCATGTGAGGGCAATGGCCAAGAAGGCGAATAAGGTGATGGGGCAGGTCTGGGGGTGGGGAGAGAGATTATTTGGAAGGGATATAGGAAAAAGGAAGATGATATTCGAGTGCTTGATTAGAAGTGTTATGATGTACGGGGCGGAGCTTTGGGGGTGGAAAGAGCAAGGGCTGTTGGAAGGCGTACAGGCTAGGTATTGGAGATGGGTTTTGGGGTTGGCAAAAGAGACGCCGGAGTACATAGTCAGAGAAGAGGTGAAGGTTGATAAGTTAAGAGTGGAGGCGGGTAAAAGGGCGGTACGTTTTGAGGAGAGGGTTGAAGGGAGGTCTCAATGTAAAATTTTGGGGGAGTGCTGGAAAGAGATTAAGGCAGGGAAAGGGGGTTACGGGCAACGAGGGAGGGAGGAATATTTCAGAAGGGTGGGGTACTCAGTGAAAGCGGTAGATGATAGAAGGAGGGAAGGGATTGAGATGTGGAAAGAGCTGGAGAGCAGGGATAGAGATGTACAGAGGCAAGAAAGAAGGGGGCAGGTAAGGGAGAGCAGGTACAACCCTAAGTACGAGTACCTGTCGGTGGAGGGGGATGAGGAGGGGAAGAGGATGGTGGCAAGATTCAGATGCGGCAATGAGGAAAGAGCGAATAGGTATTGGATGAGAGATGATGAGAGGGGTTGTAGGCTATGTGGGGGGGGAGTGGGAGTCGTTGGAGCACCTACTGAGGGAGTGTGATGAGCTAAGAGAGGAGGTGATCGGCTGGAAGCAGGTGCTGGGGGAGAGGGCAGAGGGAAGAGAATGGATGAGGGAGGTGGTGGCGACAAGGCAGCGTAGGGAGATGCGGGGAGGAGATGGGGAGGGGTGGGATAGGAAATAAAATGTATTGTATTGTAATGTGATATATGTAATTGTAGTATTGTTAAAATTTAATTGTTTGTGGAATGTAATGCTGAGTTTGTAGCAATAAACTTAATTATTATTATTAATCTGTTAGTTCTAGTGACAGTAGTAGGTAGCGCTAGTTAACATAATATCAATATGTACCATATTTTTATTGAACTAAAATTAGAACTAACACTAGACCTAGAACTAGAAAGTATCGGGATTCTTCTCCAAACGTTCAAACATCGTCTTCAAACCATCAAACATAACAGTGAAGGAAAGAAGAGCACTACAAACGATAAGGAAAAAAAACAGATATTATCATGGACAGAAAGGAATACGACGACAAGATCACGAGCCATTTGAACCCAGTCACCTAGAAGAAGATAAGGCCCCAACCGACAACATAGTAAGTAAGATGAAAGAACTGGTAAAATCCACAGGAATCCCAGTAGAACAACAGAAAAGCTTATTCGTACAAGCTCCAGTACCACCAAGGATATATGGATTACCCAAAATCCATAAACCAGAGGTCCCACTACGCCCTATTGTTAGTGCCATAAATTCTTCCACCTATCAGCTAGCAAAACATCTTGCCAAGATTCTGTCTCCTTTAACAGGTAAAACAGAGTCATATGTCAGAAATTCCACACATTTTGTAGAATCAATCAGGAGTGTGAAGCTAGACCCTCAGCATATCCTGGTAAGTTTCAACGTGGAATCTCTATTCACCATAGTACCAGTCAAAGATGCCGTGGATGATCTTCGCCAGAAACTCATCCAAGGTATGTCCCAGGACTGCCTATCGTCGACATATTTTAGTTAGAAGGGAGAGTTATCCGAGCAATACGAAGGGGCAGCCATGAGACCACCTCTGTCATCTGTGATCGCTAATTTTTACATGGAGATGTTTGGAGAGGAAGCATTAAAGAAGAATCCGTGGAAAACCGAAGCTATAGCTCCGTTATGTCGATGACATTTTCGTGATCTGGCAACATGGAAAAGAGTAACTCCCGGAATTTTTAGACCATCTCAATTCACCATGATAAAATTTACCATGGAAATAGAAACTACAAAACAGTTGCCATTCCTGGATGTGTTGATCACTAGGAAGACAGATGGAGGTATGGAGTATATCGAAAGAAGTCGCATACGAATAGGTACGTGCAGGCTTCATCCCAGCATCACCCACAACAGAAGAGGTCCGTGTTTCAAGCCTTATTCCAGTGAGCAGAGAGGATATGCGATAAAGAGAACCTGAGAAAAGAAGAAAGATTCCTGGAAGAGGTACTGCAAAAGAATGACTATACGATGAAGGATATCCAACGAACCACCAAATCATGAAAACAGAAAGATGGCTCGGTAAGTACAACACCAGTCGATTTTATCTGCCTTCCTTATGTTTCAGGTGTGACGGAGGGAATTGCGAGGTGTCTGAAGATGAATGATATCGTGTACGATACGGTACGGTCAGCAAAATACATAACGCTCTTCCCATAGCCAAAGACAAACTAATGCCATTAAAGGGAGGCTATCGTGCAGTTGCGGGAAACATTATGTTGGCCAAACTGGACGTAACATCAATTGCCGCATCAAGGAACACGAGAGAGATGTCCGACTGAGAAAAATCTAACAAACTGCAGTCGCAGAGCATTGCTACAAAGGAGGACATACCATAGAGTTTCGCAAAACCAAAGTGCTAGCAAGAAACGGACATTACTTTCAAAGATTGACGAGAGAGGCGATAGAGATTCATCGACATGGGAATAACATGAATGGGAACTCAACCGCACATGGAAAATGCTAGTGAACTCAACGAAACCGGATTTGACAAAAACAACTTAGTTGACAATTAGACACTAATTAGTTATTAATTATCTTTTCATGTATTTATTATCAAATTTTAACCGATTCCGTCACTTCGAAACTTGTTTCTGAAGAAGTTTGCAACATGGCATCCAAAATGTCAAACATTTTTTCAAATGACGAAGGGCTTAACCCGAAAGTTTCTAGGTCTAGTGTTAGTTTTAGTTTAAAGGTATTATATACATATTTGTTATCATCTATAAACTTGATATCTTATTCACAATATTCTGGCATCTTATATTTTATTCCATCCCACTCAGCTGCATCCATCCATTACTCCTCAGGTCAGCAAACATTGAAAGGCCATAAAACCGGTATAACAAAAAAACGAAAAGGAACATTCAATTGAACACAAAATTGCCACAATTAATGTTCTCTTTAAAACTTTGATGACAATTTCCTTATTTTTGGAACTTAAATCACTTAGAACTTTTTCCCTTTGTTATCCCCCCTCTCTCAAATTTCCTTTAAAGTCCTTCTTGTGTTCCCAATTTCTTCTAATGTTACCCCATAATCTAATCTGCTTCTTAATCTTATTATCATACTTATTCCACACACTACTATAGACTGCACTAATTACTTAATTCCTTTCATTCTTGGCATTAATAGAAAAAAACACTTTGATAGTATGATAACAAAATATTTATCCGCTTTGTGTTCAAAACAAAATTTATGGTGTGCAGGACAACACATCATTTTAAAATTTATGTGAGATAAACAAGAAATGAACTATTTCAAGAAATCGTTTGCGGAAATTTTTTTTCCAGTAAATGGTTGAGAGTATCAACCTTAAAAAGTTTACTTTGTTTCATAAAAACTACATATTTCTAATTTCACAGGGGTTAACTACAAATTAAATAAAGTTTTAGAAACTAACCTGATTCTGAATTGTACATTGTATCTTCACTTAATTGAAGTTCATCATTAATCCCATACTTATAAAATAAAAAGATGGGATTGGAATCCGTTCCTCCCGAATATGAACACACTTTGTTCTCGGAGTAGAGGCCTCTGCCTCCGCTAACGAGGAGAACCTGTTTTTCTGGTGGTATCTTACAAAGTTGATGGATTTTTTCTTTAAGTTCACCAACACTAAAACAAACAAAAATCCTTTTTATCAAGGTAAATCAAATTGATTGTTATAAAGTTCTTACGAATATAAGGCAGCTTGCATGTTAAAGGTCATCATAGTTCCTCGATCAACGTGAAACACAAATAACATCATTTTTACCTATTTTTTTGTATATTCCAATCAGAAATTATTTAATTGTGGTTTTGTTTATTATTGTTCAATACCTAAAAACAGAAAAAACGGGGATAATTAAAACGTGTTGAAATGGTGCTTACCTTTTTTTTTAGTACATGATTAATATTAAGGTCATTGTTTTCATTTTCATAGGGAATTTTTTTATTTCTACTTATTTATAATTTAATGAAAAAAAAATTTGTTTTCTAGTTAATTAATAATCATGTTAAAGTCACATCACAATCTAAAAATATTATTTTAAAACGTCATATTTTCATGCGAGTGAAAATTAATCTTGGAATAAACAAAGAAAATTTCATTTTCAAATGAGAACCACGTTATTTGCAAATCTTTTTCTTCGATTTTTTTTTAATCAAAATATAAAGCAAAGCAGTGAAAGTGTACGTTGTAAAAAAACGTTGACATACTGCTTAAATACGTGATTTTCCTAGGTTTTCGATCATAATAATAATAATAATAACAAACAAAATTTTCTCTACTTTGACGTTCGCTCAGCTGATGTCGATTTTCATTATTTCACGTTCCTGTTCAGACTTGTTCTAAAAAAAACGTACACTACATATTTTTATAACGACACTTTGTTGAAACGCACAAAACACGCACATTCGCACAATTGTTTATTGGTTTACTTAATTTCGCACGCGCACGTTCGAATATTGTTGCAAAGTGCGAATTATAATATTCATAGCATCAGGGACGAATGTATTTACAATTCCCTCTCCAAATCGCTATCTTCCTCATTTTATGTTTCTATCTTTTATTAGTAGATTTCTTAGTATTGAAAAAATAGTTATGTCTATTCAATCATAGATGGTGCTAAGAAATTAAATTTTAATTTAAAAATTAAGTTTTATAGCAGTCTTTCTCAAAACCTTATGGGCACTTAGGTCTACAACCGGGCGGTAAAAGGCGGAAAGAAAATTGGATGTCCTGAAGCCGTTTAAAAATACTTTGTCTTTTTCTAATAGCCCATTCTATTGACACATCAAACGTCATGATCTGTCATTTTTGACTTACAGACATAACCTCTATTATATATATATCAGACTCCGACTGGAAACTTTATAAAGGAAAATTAGCGGAGTTCAAAAAAAGCGTTCGTCACAGAAAACGAGAAACGTGGAGGAAATTTTGTGAGGAAGTTTCCTCATGCAGCGAAGTTTCTCGGTTAAATCGGGTTCTGGCTTCAGACCCTGAACGACGAATTGGCTTACTAAAAAAGGCTGACGGTTCTTATACCGACAACCTTTTGGAGAGTCTTCATTTATTAATGGAGGTGCATTTTTCAGGTTCCGGAAGTTCCGTACAAATACAACAGGACACCAACCATGAACCTACTGCAGATGATTGGATTTCAGCCGAAGAGATCTGCAGGGAGGATAAAATACGGTGGGCCATCAACAGTTTCTCGCCGTTCAAGACACCAGGACCAGATGGTATTATACCAGCCCTTTTACAATGGGGTCTGGAGGATTTAGTACCTCACCTGGTGGAAATCTTCCAAGCATGCCTGGCGCTGCGCTATATACCCAGTCGATGGCGTGAGGTCACAGTGAACTTCATACCAAAACCGGGTAAGCTTGATTATTTCACACCGAAATCGTTTAGACCAATCAGTCTCTCCTCCTTTCTTTTGAAAACTCTGGAGAGACTGTGTGATCGCTATATTAGAGATTTCTGTCTTCCAACTAAACCAGTAAATCCTAATCAACACGCTTACACTCAGGGCAAGTCCACACTAACGGCTCTTCACTCAGTGACCAGCTTTGTTGGTGGGGCGCTGGACCTAAAGGAGTCCGCCCTGGGGGTTTTCGTAGATATAGAGGGAGCTTTTGATAAAACAACTTTCTCTGGTATTAACGATGCCTTGTTAGAGCATAATGTTCCACCGACTCTTTGTGGTTGGATTGAGAACACTCTTAAACATAGGATAGTTAAGCTTAGGGCTGGCGATGTCAGTCTTCAAGGAGGAGTTACTCGAGGCTGTCCACAAGGGGGTGTACTATCCCCACTTTTGTGGAACCTCACCCTGGATAGCCTCTTGAACCGCCTCGCCGAAGCCAACTTTATCACAGTTGGTTACGCAGATGATTTAACCATTCTCGTCAAAGGCAAGTATATAAACGTGCTGTTTGACAGGATGCAAGTAGCTCTCAAACTGATAGAGACTTGGTGTGACGAACAAAGACTCTCTGTGAATCCTAAGAAGACAGAGTTGATTCTTTTCACACGGATGAGGAAGGTTGGCAATCCCAGAATGCCATCCCTTGCTGATACTCCATTGGTATTGTCAAAAGAAGTTAAATATCTGGGCATCACACTTGACAATAAAATGACATGGAGAGCCCACCTAGATAATAGAGTAAAAAAAGCGTACGTTGCATTCGGTCAATGCCGGAGGGCTATAGGTAAGACATGGGGTTTGTCACCCAGAAATGCCCTCTGGATTTACACGGCTGTAATCCGACCTATGCTTACTTATGGTGCAGTAGTATGGTGGTCAAAGACCCTACAGTCTACATCCACTACTGCACTTAATAAAGTACAGAGACTTGCGTGTTTGTATGTTACAGGTGCGCTGCGGACTACCCCCACTGCAGCCATGGAAAACATGTTAAACCTAACGCCACTTCATTTGTTCATCCAAGAGGTGGCATTGGTGACCATGACTCGACTGCGAGCAGCAGGAATTCTAATGGGTGAGAGAAATAGTAAAAATGCCAATCTCTGGAATGAAATGGTGGATTACTCACCAATTCTGGAGTGTGTAACGGACTTTACACCCCTACAACACATTTTTACGAAGAAATATCTCACCCACCCAAGCTCCACAGAAGTAGAGGTAAAAAACAGCCTTAAAATCTACACTGATGGTTCAAAGAGACGGGAAGGAGCTGGAGCCGGAGTCTTCTCGTACGATCTCCGACTCCACGTATCTGAACCTTTAGGTATAAGTACCACCGTCATACAGGCGGAGTTAATCGCCATACAACTTGCCGCTGACGTTATTGTCAGATCCAACTTGGTAGGTAAGACTTTTACAATTTATACTGACAGTAGACAAGCTATTTTAGCCCTGAGTAGAATAACAATTACCTCAGGACTTGTTATGGGTTGTCATCTGACATTGGAGAAGGCCGCAGTGCATAACTGTGTCATACTTCAATGGATAAAAGGACACTCGACTTGTTCAGGTAACAAGCACGCTGATAGGCTTGCCAAAAGGGCTGCCAAGCGAGCGCCATGTTCGCCTGAACCGATAATCGCTCCGTCCTTATCAACTCAGATTGAGATAATTAAAGATTTTACCCACAAAAAGTTCATGAACTGGTGGGATAGGGTTAAGGGTTGCCATCTGTCTAAGGAAGTATTACATTATCCTTCAGCAGAGGCAGCCTTGTCTTTCGTAAGGCTTGGTAGAAACGCTCTACGAACTGTAACGGGACTCGTCACGGGTCACTGTAAGGTAAACAAGCATCTTTATAACCTTAAGCTTGCTGTTAGTCCTCTCTGTCGCCTCTGTAAAGAGAGCGAGGAGACGGTCCGACACATCTTGTGTGAATGCCCCACTCTGCAAGACCTCAGAATGAGGCCGACCACAGATGGCATCAGAAACACACCTCTGAGCTGTATCCTAGCCTTCGGAAATTCCTTAGGCTGGTTGATGTAGCCGGAGACAGTGTTGGAGGATGTACAAGGGGCCCGTTGGGGCCTAGGTGCTGTGTGCGTAGCATACCCTCCGCTTTCCTACATACATACATACATAACCTCTATTATTACTTTTAGTGGTAGATATAGAAGATAAAACGTTCAAAAAGCCTGCGATAAATTAAACTCAAATATTCACAGTTATAATTTGTAAATATATTTATATTAATATGTGTATAATCGTTTTTATCATGCAATAGTTTTTTTGTCACAAAATAACCTTATATATTTTTATAATAAATTCAGAAATATACGCATAATTGTTAATAATCAAAAATATAATTTAAGTGTTATATATTTAAGTGTATATTATATATTTTTTTGAATCACACATTTGAAAATGTATCATCGGACGATTTTACGTACCTCAAACTATATCAAAACGTTTATTTAATTCCTTAAAAGTTATTAAACAGTTTGAAACAGTTTAAGTACTAATAATAATACATTTATTAAATACATCATGCAAATTTCTAAAGCATAATATGCAAACAGTATCATAACTAATGTTTTAATACCCTTTTTCGTAAGATTCTCTTTATATTAAGACATACAGATCATTGTTTCTTCAAGGAAAATCTTGAGCACAATCTACACTATTAATTTATTTCATAAAATTCGAATTTGTTAAGTTATATTATAGTAAAAGTTATAGTACATACATAAATATTTGGTGGAATGAATTGATATTAATAGAATTGACCTTATTTTGATTCATTTGATATAGTATAAACATTTCGTTACATTTATAGAAAGTGAGTGCGATTACATTTATATTTAAAAACTAACAAGATTAATGTATTCATTAAATTTGACGTTTAGAATTGTCAAAAAATAATTTACTTTGTTACCAACTTAAATTATCTTTTAACATTTAACCATTTAATACTTTTCTAAATATTATCTTCCTAGTTTTTAAATAATGTAGTATGTAAGTGATTTATATTTAAAAACTAACAAGATTAATGTATTCATCAAATTTGACGTTTAGAATTGTCAAAAAATAATTTACTTTGTTACCAACTTAAATTATCTATTAACATTTAACCATTTAATACTTTTGTAAATATTATCTTCCTAGTTTTTAAATAATGTAGTATGTAAGTGCTGTGACATTTCTTAGTTAAGATTCTGCTTGCTTTACATTGCAATTTAATTATCGCGCTGATTCGGATAAATTCTCATTATTTCTTAATCCATCTGCTCATATTTTGCTTTGTTGATAACGCTTGCTAAACAACAGGATAGAATTACACCGAATAGAGGGAAAAATGTTATTCCAATTGCTACTCCAGCCAACGTCCCAATATTTTCATTAATAAATTTAACAACTCTGTCATAGCAACCCTAAAACACAAATACATCATTACTTAAAAAAGCATTATTCTTGCAAATCAAATTATTACAGTTTTATAAATTTCTTCTGAATTTCCAACATCACAACCTTTCTCGATACAACATGAAAAAGGAGCTGGTTTCGACATTTCTATCCAATCATTGGGACCATGATTTCCACAGCAATGTAACTACGCGAGAAAAAAGATTATTTTCAAAACTTAGAAAAAAAGTAATGCAAAAACCTGTTCTTGTAGAGTATCGATTGCTGTTGCGACAGAATTTTTATTATTCTCTGAACTGTTGTAATATTGACTCATGCTTATGTTCAATCCTTGATCGAAAGCAGCCGGAAATCGTTCTCTGTATGCATAAATGGAAAGCCCCGTGCCCAATTCCAAAACAAAAGCAACAGCTAAAAATGCCCCATACTAAAACACAAAAAAATTTTATTATCAAGGAACTCGGCGATTATTAAAATTACTGTAACATAATGGTTAAATTTGCATATTAGACGGGGATCGATGGGTTTTTAGATTCTTTAGAGTGTATCCGTTTCGCTTTTATGAAGATTCCATTCTTTTACTTTTTTAAGAAGAAAATTATGCATGAATTAAAATTTAATTTCTTTTCACACCCGAGTAATTTTTCTTTCTCTAAAAGTTTTTTTTTAACTTACCACATAAAGAAGAACGTGTTGTCCTTTAACTGTGCAGCAACAAGCTAATGTGCTGATGGCAATAATTAAAGCGCCGGTTGATATCAAAACGTATTGGGTCATATCGGAAAAATCGGCCGTTAATTCCATGTAAAGATGAAGACGTTCTCGCATGTAAATTCCTATTCCTAAAATTGCCCATCCTGATGCCTAAAATATATAATTAAAAAGGTAGAAACTTTCAAAATTGACTTTTTTATGTTGACATCTCAAAGCTAGCGCCTCGCCCACAAACAACCTTCGCAATATTTCTGTAAGTCGTGGTATCATTTTAACTAGTGGTGGAATTCCGGCAACTATCCGAATTAGTATCTCTTTTAGATGTTGGATACTGCGGATAATAATTAAGTTCAACCCCAATAGGACTTTTTTCATTTAATACAACTTCATTTATATCAGATTTGTCATTAGCAACCTCATTGTAACAATCCCAATACGATATATAAAGTCTAGTTTTCTTCTCTTCGCTTGTAATTCATCATTACATTCATTACTAACAGAACTGTCGTTGTTATCACTTTCGATTATTAATTAAAGTATTCTCTTTTTAATGCAACAAGCCGTTTTGAAAAATCGCTTTTAGTTTTTGAGAAATAAATTTTTGAAAAGATCGACAATTTTTCGAATTTAGCAATTTTCGCCGATTAAGTTTTAAAAATTCGTATAAAATCCATTTCTTGGAATATGAATATGAAAATTTTCCAAAATGTTAATAAAAGTGTCCTCTTTCCAATGAACCAACCCGTTTTGAAATATAACTTTTAGTTTTTGAGAAAACAATATTTGAAGTTTTGATAAAATTTTCGATGTTTCAATTTTCATCGATAATTTTCAAAATTCGCTATAAAATTAATTGCTTGAACGATCCTTGTAGAAATATCACCAATTATTAATTAAAGTATCCTCTTTTTAATGCAACAAGCCGTTTTGAAAAATCACTTTTAATTCTTGAGATAAAAATTTTTGAAATAATCGACAGTTTTTTCGAATTTTGCAATTTTCGTTGATTAAGTTTTAAAAATTCGTATAAAATCTATTTCTTGGAATATGAGTATGAAAATTTCCCAAAGTGTTAATAACAGTGTCCTCTTTCCAATGAACCAACCCGGATTGAAAAATAACTTTTAGTTTAAATTAACTTTTATTTTAAAATTTCCGATGTTGCAATTTTCATCGATAACTTTCAAAATTCGTTAGAGAATTAATTTCTTGAAGGATCCTTGTGGAAATATCGCCAATTATTAATTAAAGTATCCTCTTTTTGTAGCAATGTAGGGTATATTTCAGAAATGCACCAGAAATTATATCACTAATTTTAACTCTAGTATTTGTGATTAAAATTATGCCACGACTTACAGGAACACCTGTATATATATATACTGTGGCCTTAAACATTTAAAAAAATGTAATTAATATTTTGAAAGACTTTTTATATCATCATAAAATTTCGTTTTTCTGGACAGTTTTAGAAAAAATGTAAAATATTTAAGAAATATTACAGAAGAAAACAGTAATATTTAAATGAGATGTGAAATTAATTTTTTAACGGCTTTTAATCGCAATCTAAACTGGGTCAACGTTTTTTTCAACACATGCGGTATTTATTTTATAATAATTCAACAAAAAATGTCGGAACTAGTCAAAAAGGTCATGATCATTTAGATATAAAGATTATAGTGCTCATTATAAATATTTAAATATTGTGTAATTGGAATACTTTACATTCATAGACCTTTTCTGCTATCGATTTATATTTTTATTTGGCTTTATCGTTAAATTAACTCGTGTTTTTTGATAAGCAACGTTTACCGGAACAGTACAAATTGTTGCGTATGTGTTTAAAATTCCTTATCGATCTGTAACACGTTTTAATTTTTTTCCGTTATTTCCCGTTGTTTTTTGACCCAAGCGCAATATGCAACTAAAAAAACATTTTTACGCGTTATTTATAACATTTTTCTTTAACTTAACAAATATCTTAAAATTTTATTTCACCATCTGGAGTGAAAATTAGATTTAAATTAATTTTCATTCAATATCTACTTGATATTTTTACATTTCAAATTTAACTTACCCAAAATATTAAATTGAAGATCATCAACAGCGTTTTCATGCATGTCATTGCAGCAACAGTTTGCAGATGCTTACTCATTTTTGTGTTACAATAACTCCTTTTAAATACGATTTATTTCGTTTTTTGAACGTATAGATATGTTGTTTAACTTTTTGTTTTAATCTCTAAATTGCACTCTGTGATTTTTTTAATCTATCAATAAAAATGGGCGAAGCTTACTGTTGGCCTTCTGTTGAGAATGTTCGATACTTCTAAAAAGGGAAAGCTTAAATGCGCATGTTACACATCTTGTATGTAGAAAGTATTTAATTCGGGTTGAATTTGTTGTTTTTTTTTGGAAATTTGATAGGTTTTGGTTTTAGTAAATTAATTTGTTTATAATTTAACATTGAAAATTCTTTTTTTGGGGTGTATTTCGAATTGATAATATTTTGATTCCTTATTTCATCGATTGATGACGACGCCTTGCGTCCCGGCGTTGTTTCTGCTGCCATCTATTACTTAAATTTTAAATCACCAATGTTTCTAATAAATATAATAATAATTAATAAATGAAATTTGCTATTAAGATTTCTGCAAATAATATTTTTATGCATACATATTTTTATTACATTTTTAAGCACAACATTAATAGTAAAACTAAAGAAAGAGAAAGAATTTTCATTCTTTTGAAGAGAAGAAACTGGTTCTCGTGTTAAAAAATCCGCACCCATCTCGGTCACAAAGCGGGGACGGCGTTTACTGGAACGTGAAGCCCCAGAAGAATCCATTCTTCTTTTCCTCCATCCTTTTCTGTTCTTCCTTGCAAAATTGAGAACTATGTCTTTATGTTGCCGGTTTACTTTGATAAATCATAATTAAATGCTTAGAAAATTGTAAGTAATCGATAGGAGAACGCTTATCGAGTTGATGCTGGTGCTGCTATCTAATTAAAGCAGTACAAATACGACTCGGAGGCTATAAATTAGATCAAAAGGTATGTCGCACATTCTATGCCGTGTAGCACAGTTATTTAGGCACGGTAATGCGCCCTTGCTATACGTTCTAGAATGAGGTGTACTATTTCCTTGTTCTATTTTTAGTGTGGCATGTTCTTCACTACCATCAGTATTAAAACATCTATTAAAATAAACGTTCTCCTATAATAATTACATTTTTTTCTTTTTTGAATTAACATTGTTTCTTGTTACACCAAGTTTGTTATTAAATTAACATTTCAAACAGTTTGTTTTGGTTTCTTTTCTTTTCACTCAATTGTTAATTGTTTTAGAAAAAACAATGAAGTTCATTTTCCGTTTCTTGTTTGAGTAGTTTTTGAATTGGGTCTTTGTTTTTTTTATGAAGAACTAACTGTAGAATTCTTAAAGCCGAGGTGACCTAAATAGAAAAATTATTATTTATAAAAGTGAATCCCATGATAATTTCTGTAACAATTACCTCCGTTTCGGCAAAATTCTTTTAAGTTCGATTTGCGACGGTTCCAAAAAAAGGAACTTTTTAGTTTAAATCAGTTTAAATCAATTTGTAGCGGCATCGATTATTTTACTTTCACGATCTTAATCGAAATTATTACTCCGTTCTAAATTCCATATATAACTTTCTTATAATCACTTCATCATTTATCCATTAAGATGTAAGTGACTTCTCAACCAAAGCTTTAATGGGACAACTTTAGATTTGTTATGGTACTCATCAATTAGTTTAAAACCGCAATCCGTAACGGTGTCGCGATTATTTACAACCTCATAAACGCTCGACAAATACGGTAAAATATTTAGACTCATCGACCATGTTTTTTTTTTTTGTATACAATCATGTTGGATTTTTTGTCTTTATCGCCGTATGTTATCTGTGCGATTTCTGCACATGTGACCCATAACGGATGATGACGCGAATAGGTACCAAACAATAGGGAAGTCATCGCTCCGTACTTCCTGTTTTTCTTTTTTTTTTTTTTCAAAAAAGAGAGGAAGTAAGGTTCGAGAATTTTTCTCTACTTCCACTAATCCCGGCTCAGTCATACTTTGTTGTTCAAAATAAAAGTTGTGGTGATAATTAATAATTAAACATGGTGTAAAATTGGATTTATTTTTGTTTGGAAAAATAGACAAAGATGTATGGGGTAAGTAAAGATTTTGTTAGAGTTTCTTGAATTCCTATTGAAAACGATTACGTATTCAAACCACGCATTCTCATAAAGAAACATGCTGGGTCGTGTTTGCTGAACCTCGTTTCCTTCCGCAACACAATCCTCTCTCTCGACTTGGGCGTAATTATATTTATGCGTAAAGTCAGTTTGATGAATGCGTTCTCATATTTAGAGAGGTGAGGTATGTTTACAACGAGATAAACAAATATATTTTTTTTAATTCAATTTTAAAACTTCTCAAATCGTATTATTGTCGTAGAAATATCTTTAAAAGTAATGTCAGGTTTAATTTTTTTACTGTCTTTTAGATGATACGTTGACAAAACTTTGTTGTACAAATAGTGCAAAATGTTAATTTAAGATACCTTTATAAAAATACTTGCCAGTTGTAATCACAAGAACACAATTTGACATTAAATATACAATACTGTTCAGGTACCGATTTGACCAAATTATTCTTATGATGGGAGACCTTAATTTAGTCCAGAGGAGATTTCTTCTCCTGATCCTTGTGCCTGATGGCGTCGGATAAATCTTTTTTCTATTCCTCCATCCATTTCTTCCACTCCCTCCAGTTCATGGCTAATTCCTTTATATCTGCTAAAGTCTTCCTTCTCTTCTGCCTAACTTCTGCTATTCTTTTTTTGCTATCCTTATTCTTTGCATCAAATACTTTTTTTACTATTGTGTTATGTTCCATTTTAATTATCAGTTTAGTAGCTTTCTCTCGTCTTATTTCCTCATTTCTTATCCTCTTCGTCTTCCCCACTATTTTCCGTAAAAATTTCATTTCCATTGCTGTGATCTTTCCTTCTTGTTTATCTTGGAGTGTCCATGACTCACAGGCATATTTTACCATTGGAACTACCACCGAGTTGTACACTTTCAATATTATCTTTTTATCTATCTCCTTCCAAAAAATTCCTCTTCCTGATCCCCTTGTGTATATCATTACCTATTTTCGCATTCCAATCTCCCATTATAATTACTTCCTCTCTTTGTTCCCTGAATTTATCCAAGGTTTTCTGCAGACTTGGGTAAAAATCTCGTATTTCTTCTTCTTCTGTTCCTTCCGTTGATGCGTAGATGTGAATTATATTCACCTTTCCGTGGAGGTCAATTCCTAATTCCAGAATTCTTGAATTTTCTGGTGCATACTTATTTACTCTTTTATTTAGTTCTTCTGTTATAATTGGACCGCGTTATACATCACTTGACTAAACCACAAATGAATAATGTTGAGAAAAACGGGATTTTCGTTTTCATCTATCTAAAAATATAAGACTTCTCAGAATAGACAGGTTCAAACTATTGAAAATTGTTTGGTGCTTGTCCATTTTTATCACAGAACACTGATCACAAGCACAAGTTGTAAAATTAAAGAACGCTCTTTTTTAAGAAACTTGGGAAAAATTCAAGAATCATCATGTGGCTTAAAAATCGACGATTTTTTTTAATTAATGTGTAATGACCCAAAAAACACGTTAAAAATAAAAAGAAAGTTCGGAAAAGTGGCTAACACTAGATTAACTTCAGTTATAAAACTTCTATCATATGATAACTAACTTCAGATTTAAAATGTCAACCTCAATTTTGACTTATTTGTAATCTTCATTAAAAATCCTTTAAAATGAGTACAAACATGACATATTTATCTTCAATATTAATGAAGTTAAGGTCAATTTCCGGTTAAGAATGTCAACCTCAATTTTGACATATTTGTAATCTTCATTAAAAATCCTTTAAAATGAGTACAAACACGACATATTTATCTTCAATATTAATGAAGTTATGGTCAACTTCCGGTNCTACCACCGAGTTGTACACTTTCAATATTATCTTTTTATCTATCTCCTTCCAAAAACTTCCTCTTCCTGATCCCCTTGTGTATATCATTACCTATTTTCGCATTCCAATCTCCCACTATAATTACTTCCTCTCTTTGTTCCCTGAATTTATCCAAGGTTTTCTGCAGACTTGACTAAAAATCTCGTATTTCTTCTTCTTCTGTTCCTTCCGTTGATGCGTAGATTTGAATTATATTCACCTTTCCGTGTAGGTCAATTCCTAATTCCAGAATTCTTGAATTTACTGGTGCATACTTATTTACTCTTTTATTTCGTTCTTCTGTTATAATTGGACCGCGTTATGCATCACTTGACTAAACCACAAATGAATAATGTTGAGAAAAACGGGATTTTCGTTTTCATCTCTCTAAAAATATAAGACTTCTCAGAATAGACAGGCTCAAACTATTGAAAATTGTTTGGTGCTTGTCCATTTTTATCACAGAACACTGATGACAGCTATCACAAGCACAAGTTGTAAAATTAAAGAACGCTCTTTTTTAAGAAACTTGGGAAAAATTCAAGAATCATTATGTGGCTTAAAAATCGACGATTTTTTTTAATCAATGTGAAATGACCCAAAAAACACGTTAAAAATAAAAAGAAAATGCGGAAAAGTGACTAACACTAGATTAACTTCAATTATAAAACTTCTATTATATGATAACTAACTTCAGATTTAAAATGTCAACCTCAATTTTGACTTATTTGTAATCTTCATTAAAAATCCTTTAAAATGAGTACAAACACGACATATTCATCTTCAATATTAATGAAGTTATGGTCAATTTCCGGTTAAGAATGTCAACGTCAATTTTGACATATTTGTAATCGTCGTGAGAAATCCTTTAAAATGAGTCCAAACATGATACGTTTAATTCCAATATTAATCGAGATATAAGTAACTTCCGGTTTGAAATGTCAATGTCATTTTGACATATTCTTAATTTTTATAAAATGTCTTAATATTTGTCACAAAAACAAAAATGTAATAAAAAAAAATACAAAATTAAGGTTGGTATTAATATTTAAAAATTAAATTGCCATCTTCATTGTTGCTAACTTAGGGTTTAATGTTTTTTATTCTAACTTTTTTGTTTTTTGAGATAAGTACGTCATCTTTGGACTCATTTTAAAGGTTTTTTAATGAAGATGACAAATATGTCNCCTCAAAATAATAATTTTTTCATTTTTGTACATAATCACACTTCGATGCTTCGATTGAGATAATTAATAAAGACGGTCGCTAAGTACTACGCAAAAGTCAACTATTAATAGCAGTTTTCGAAAAATGTTATTTATGTGCTGTTTTAAAGTAAAAAATAATACCTAATTTTATAAATTTCGGTCCTAATTTCGCCATAACTAAACCAACACGAACTTATGGTGCAACTTATTCACATAAATCACGGCTGATAACTATCAAACTGAACTAAAACAATATGAATTAATCCCCAAAAAAATTATCTAACTATAATATATTGATTAAAAGCTTGTTGGCGAAATGATTAGATAGTTTGAAGTATATGTCTTCTCTATTTAATTAATTAATACGTATAAAAGCTGTTATCTATAAACACTTTTATTTTTAACTACTATATAAAATCAATTCATAAAAAAGGTAGAAAAAATATTAAATCATTTTCACCACAAATTGAAATTATTTGTTCAAATACTTATCTCTTTGTGTTATTTTAAGTGCTTTTTAATACACCATTGAAATTGATTAAATAATTTTGAAAAGTAAATTAAGAAAAAATCATTGGAATGTAAAAATTTATTTTGGAAATACTTAAATATAGATTCACCAAAATGCACAGCCTTATCAATTAAACATTCATCAACTAAATGTAGTGATTAAAGGAGATAAAGTACGTCAGAGTTAGAGAAGATAAATATGTCGAGTTTGGACTCATTTTAAAGGATTTTTTTATGAAGTTGACAAATATGAAAAGTGACTAACACTAGATTAACTTCAGTTGTAAAACTTCTATTACATGATAACTAACTTCAGGTTTAAAATGTCAACCTCAATTTTGACATATTTGTAATCTTCATTAAAAATCCTTTAAAATGAGTACAAACACGACATATTTATCTTCAATATTAATGAAGTTATGGTCAACTTCCGGTTAAGAATGTCAACGTCAATTTTGACATATTTGTAATCGTCGTGAAAAATCCTTTAAAATGAGTCCAAACATGATACGTTTAATTCCAATATTACTCGAGATATAAGCAACTTCCGGTTTGAAATGTCAATGTCATTTTGACATATTCTTAATTTTTATAAAATGTCTTAATATTTGTCACAAAAACAAAAATATAATAAAAAAAAATAAAAAATTAAGGTTGGTATTAATATTTAAAAATTAAATTGCCATCTTCATTGTTGCCAACTTAGGGTTTAAAGTTTTTTATTCTAACTTTTTTGTTTTTTGAGATAAGTACGTCATCTTTGGACTCATTTTAAAGGTTTTTTAATAAAGATGACAAATATGTCAAAATTGACGTTGACGTTTCAAACCGGAAGTTGACCATAACTTCATTAATATTGAAGATAAATATGTCGTGTTTGTACTCATTTTAAAGGATTTTTTATGAAGTTGACAAATATGTCAAAATTAAAAGTTGAAAGTTCGAACTTTTTGGTTTTTTGAGATAAATGCTTACTAAAATGTCCCTTACTCAAGTGATGTCTGGTTCTTTTCAATAACATCGGTCGATTATTAATTAATAATTGTTTTTTAAGGTAACTCACCCAAAAATCTTTTTGCAATCACCAAAATCAAGTGATGAATCAAAAATAAAAGAGTTAAACAACGAAGATTTTTATGTGTTGTGGAAAAATGGGGTTGTAGACCGTATTTTGTTAAGAAAAATTTCAAATCTCTACGAATAGTGGAACCTGAAAATGTTCTAACGAACCGGTTACGTGAGACACCCTGTATAAAATCAATTCATAAAAAAAGGTAGAAAAAATATTAAATCATTTTCACCACAAATTGAAATTATTTGTTCAAATACTTATCTCTTTATGTTATTTTAAGTGCTTTCTAATACACCATTGAAATTGATTAAATAATTTTGAAAAGTAAATTAAGAAAAAATCATTGGAATGTAAAAATTTATTTTGGAAATACTTAAATATAGATTCACCAAAATGCACAGCCTTATCAATTAAACATTCATCAACTAAATGTAGTGATTAAAGGAGATTCTAATTGATACATAAGCAAAGTTAAAGCACTCCCAATAATTTGTTTATGATACATATGCTTCAACAAATATCTATTATTCATAAACAATTTTCTCGCGTTTTCTTGACACTCAGACATACTACACATAATCGTATGAAATCGATTATCAGAACACCATTTTTCAGCCGTTTGAACTAAATTTTGTCCCACTCCTTTTCTTCTAAACCCATTAATAACCGCTAAACGAAACAACCAAGCTGCGTTTTCATCGTGCGAGAATTTCGTTATCGAAACGGTCCCAACGATTGTTTTACGAAATCTAGAAAGATCAATCCCTTCATCGCCTAATTTATATTCTGGAATAATCCTATACAATTTATTTTTCGGCGGATTTAACTCTAAAATGGGGTCCAACGATTCAGCAACCCAACATTGATTGAAACGTTTTCCGTGTGATAATTCCATTGCTTTCATTAAAAATGCCAAGTAAACGAAAATGAACATAACGAACATTACGACTGGAATTGAAATGATGCAATATTGAAATGGGACTCCCATAAAGATGAACATTACGGCTGCGCCGAGTACAATCATTTGGAATGTTATCTAGAATATTAAATGAAAAAAATGAGATTGAATTGAGTTGATTAAGCGCAACCTAACCTCTTTCCCGAGAAATGTTAACCAAGCGTTAAAAGCGCTTGATAAATAGGCGTTTCGAATTACTTGGTTTATATTTGATATATCACTCGTTTTGTATTCTCTTATCACTATTATTCCGTACATTTTTGATTCATTTACGTTTTATTTTAGATTAAGAAATTTTTTGAGGTTAATTAGAAATTATTTTTTTACCAAATTTAAGTTGGTATTAAATTTTTTTTTAATTTAAAATTTTTTGTATCGATGATAAGATAATATTTTTTTATAATATCTTTATCTTTTTATAAACATCCCAGGAAACAATAACTGTGGTGTTTACGTTTTATTTTAGATTAAGAAATTTTTTTAGGTTAATTAGAAATTAACTAAATTTAAGTTGGTATCAAATTTTTTTTTAATTTAAAATTTTATGTATCATCAATGATTTGATGATAAGATAATATAATATCTTTATATTTTTATAAACATTCCAGAAAACAATAACCGTGGTGTTAATTAATCTAACCATAAAAAAAATTACATCCGTTCTGAAATTAGCAACAAAACAAAAAAACACCATCGTCTAGTGACCTTTTAATATTGACGTTTCGGTCGAACGCTGTCAAACGAAAAGTATCCTTTAAAATAAATCAAGATTAACTCGTTGTTTGCGCGAAGTATGTTCAATATGCGGATTAAGATCAATCCGCCGAGGAACAACGAATTGCGTTGTTTCTTTTGCCTTCACGTTCGCACCGCTACCATTTTATTGGGAATATGGCACTTGGTAAGCGAAATTTAGCCAAATACAAAAAATCGAGGCTTTAATTATTTATTTTAGATGTTGCACATACTTGCATTGAGCATCCTCGCTCTTTGTATGCGGAATCAACATATGTTGGCTCAAAGGCCTATAAGCAACGATATCGAGGTTGGAAATCTTCTCCCGACACCTTTGAGTAAAACCAAGGATGATAATTTACCTTATTATTTACCTACAACTCAAGATGGGAGACATATTTTTCAATGTAAGTAAAAGTATTAATGATATGATGAAATTTAATTAAAAAAACGTTTTATTTTTTAGCCGATATAGATATGGGGGCTTTAATGACGGTGTGCACTCTTGCGATTACTTTATTGATGGTTTATGGCACAGTAAAAGGAAAAGCAACGCATATTTTGCCATTTTTTTGTTTATTGCTTTTCGATTTTGCAATCGCGACGTAAGTATTTCGTTAAAAATGCGTTTTTTTTAAATTTTTTTTAATATATTCATTTTAGGTTAACTGCAACTGGATATTTTTGTTACATCCGATCAGTACACAGTTTCGTTAACGAACACTGGCATAATTTACCCTACAAAAACGCATTATTAGATATCAGCCCTCAATATTTGTCCTTAATCGTTTTATTTGTTTTCGTTTCGACGATTTTATGGAAGGTAATTAATTAATAATTCATTTTTGGTTTAATTCAAGAATCATCATGTTAAGTAAATTATTACAAATAAATAAAAAGTGTAAAATTTACCAAAAAATCATGATGACGTCACTTTTTGTGACGTCATCGAACCATAACTACAAGGACATAAGTACAAAATGACTTAATAGCCGAAATTGTTTGATTTTTGACTTCAAATAATAATAAATTGAAATAATTAATAATTCTAATGACGCCTCACAAATAAAGTTTGGAGATATCGATATTTTTTAATATTAATAGTCTAAATATTCATTAATAGCATATTTTTATCAAAAATCTTGAAAACTTAAGTTGTCAAATTATTGTAAAGTTGGCAACATTAATAGGGAATTTTGTTAAATCATGTTTTAAGTCAATGTGACGTTTGAAGTTTCTGATTTCAAAAATAATTCGTTCTTGGTTTCATATTTATAAACAAATTGTTTAAATACAAATAATATTTAACCTCAACTTACCAGTTATTCAAAATACTATTACAAATTGGAAAAAATAATATCAATTTTATGAAGATCTTTGTTAATGTCAAAAGGTAACCTAAAAATTTGACAGTATCACCTGTCAATGTGACGTTCATAAATAAATTGATATGTAATATGCAGGGCACGGAAATTAAAATTTCAAGTTAGAAAAAAATTGTGTTAACAAAAATTGTTCCTGAAACAATTCTAAACAAACTTTGTCAACAATTTTTTTTGATTTAATCAATAATTAAGGAGATAACCTCAAAATAATAATTTTTCCATTTTTATACATAATTATACTTAAATGCTTAATTAATAGAGATGTAAAAATTTTTTATTAAGATAATTGATTCAAAATCGAAATTGAAACAAATTTTATTTAAAACATTTTTTGATAAAAACAATAATTATTGAGATAATTAATTTTGATAGCATACTATTCAGAGGGAAATTAAAATTTCAAGTTAGCAAAAAATTGTATTAACAAACACTGTTCCTGAAGTAATTCTAAACAAATTTTGTTAACAAAATTTTTTGATTTGATCAATAATTAAGAACATAATCTCAAAAAAATTTTTGTTACAAAAGTTCCGTGCCCTAGTAATATGTTATAAATCATAAATTGAGATGTAATCAACACATTTTTGATATAACTTGTAAACTAGAAATATTCAATTTTTAAGCCACATGATGACTCTTGAATTTTCCTAATTTTTTAACCCAAATTTAAATTAATTATATCATACAGGGTTATTGTATAAGCGTCGTTTGGAGATGCTACAAATACTTAACGTTAAGACAACAAGCCTCTCGGAGTACCGTCCATTATATTTTACGAGGCGATGATGGAGAGCGTATCCCAGACCCCGAGTATCTTTTACCGGATTATGAAGCTGCTTGTGCCAGTTTTAAGCAACCTCCACCGCCGTCGTATCAAGCCGCAATGGAACAACCGCCACCCCCAGCTTACCCCGATACAATTAATCCCAGAATTCATTTCATTGTTGCCGAAACTGGAGTTGAAAATGAACCCTCAACTCCGATAGCGACGGTAGCAATTCTTCCTGAAGAAGATGTCCCAACCGGGCGGGTTTACCCGGATACTTCTTCTTTGGAGGAGGTACCCAAAAAGGAGGAAGATGAAAATAAAGAGGAAGGTGGGGAGAAGAAGAAGGAGGAGCCACCAAAAGAACCCCAAGAATAAAAAAAAATTTTTTGGTGATATTATTCAGTCTATAATAGTAATATAGAGATATTTTTTCGATAGATCTTTTTAGGAATTAATGATAAAAGTTGTTTTTTTTATTACAGTACTTATTTATTTCGACCGTATTTCTTTCAATTTGATTCTAGGGAAAATTGTTAGAGAATGAAAGCTTTAGAGAACATAAAATAAACGTCGTCGTTGCGTCATCGGGCCTAAATTATTGATAATTTATTACTACTGTTTTATTGAATTTACAAAAAAAGCTTTTTTTCAGGTTAAAAAAAATTATATTTCTTTTTCTCGTCTTGTCTCGGTGTCTATAAAGCAGTAGTTACTGTAGAATCGGTTTGGAACTAATTCAAAATAAAAATAAAACTTGTCCATCTCTAATTAATTCTTTTTATTAGGACCTAGATTATTACTTATCCTGTTCCTGGCATAAATTGGAAAATAAGAAACTTCTTTTTTAGTTGTTAATGATTTTTCTATTTATTATTATTATTACTATTTGAAATACAAAAGGAAATTATTACATTAAAACTCATCTTTTAAAGAGATTTAAATTTTTCTTTTAATATTAAGAATAAAACATTTTTAATTTCCTTTATCCATCTCATCTTCATATAATTCCTCACTTTTTACGAAATTGGGGTCGGCTCTTTTAAAACTTCCCCCAAGTACCAAGCTGTTTAATGTTCTTCGTACCATACATCTAAAATAAATAAGGTTATTATAAAGTGTCTACTTCATGTTTCAGAGCGAGTAATACGAATGGAATGAAGCCAAATGTTGATATGGAGTAGAAGAATTTAAAAGTTTCTAAGGATGCAAATAGTATAAAAAGTTGATGAAAAAGTTGTCAATTAAAAATCGAAACTACAATACAACAATGGGATGTAGACGGTTTAAAATCAGGTATTGTAGTACTCTACTTTTTAATATTAAATCCTAACTGCTAAACATAAACATACTTTAGCGACTTTAACGCTACAAAAAATTAATTAAAAATAATTGCGACATCTAGCGGTTGCTCGCGGTAACTATATGTTTTTATTACAGGAATCTGTAATTTTTCTAATATAATTGTCAGGGCACGGAACTTTTGTAACAAAAGGATACGATTTCCCCCCTCCACTCGTTCTAAAACGATTTTCTCAATAAAAGAATATATAAACTTATGTTCTTAATTATTGATCAAATCAAAAAATTTTGTTAACAAAATTTGTTTAGAATTACTTCAGGAACAGTGTTTGTTAATACAATTTTTTGCTAACTTGAAATTTTAATTTCCCTCTGAATAGTATGCTATCAATATTAATTATCTCAAATTATTATTTTGAGGTTATCTCCTTAATTATTGATTAAATCAAAAAAAATTGTTGACAAAGTTTGTTTGGAGTTGTTTCAGGAACAATTTTTGTTAACACAATTTTTTTCTAACTTGAAATTTTAATTTCCCACTGAACAGTATGTCCTTTTAATCGGAACGAGTGGAGGGGGGAAATCGTATCTTATCTTAATTGCGCCATCTAGCGGTTCCTCGCGGTAATTATATGTTTTTATTACAGGAATCTGTAATTTTTCTTATATAATTATTCGATTAACAAATTTGTTTACCTAGGTTCGGAGATTTTATTTTTACCATCACACGGATTATCATCATTCCTCCGTATCCTATCAAATCCAATTCCAATTAAAGCCTCTAACGCCGCTCTTCTACGAACGAAATGACGTAAAGATTGATCTAAAATCTTGTTTTTTTTACCTTATTTGGTCGTATCCTTGCATCTCCACTGCGTTATCCAGATTTCGCGCGGGGAAATTTCTGTAATCCTCTGAAAATTATATACATAAAAGTTGTTAAAAAGAAAACACGTTATGATTAATTAGTGATATATTTTTGAAGACTCGCGGAATTAAATTTGAATTAGTTTAACAATATTGTAGGGAAATTAAAATTTGTTTTTGATTTTTTGGAGGAATTCGTTTAATCCGCGTTCGTTTAGATTATCGGGGATGGTGTATAAATTGCGTCCAATTAAGTTTCCTCCTCCGATGCTATCTAAGCTTCTTCCTATTAAGTTGCCCCCACCAATGCTATCTAAGCTTCGTCCTTGAAGGTTGCCTCCACCGATGCTATCTAAGCTTCGTCCTTGAAGGTTGCCTCCACCGATGCTATCTAAGCTTCTTCCTAATAAGTTGCCACCACCAATACTATCTAAGCTTCTTCCTATTAAGTTACCACCACCAATGCTATCTAAACTTCGTCCTTGAAGATTTCCTCCTCCAATACTATCTAAGCTTCTTCCCAATAAATTGCCACCACCAATACTATCTAAGCTTCTTCCTTGTAGATTACCCCCACCAATACTATCAAGACTTCTTCCTTGAAGATGTCCACCACCAATTCCATCCAACCCTCTTCCTTGAAGATTACCTCCTCCAATACTATCAAGACTTCTTCCCAATAAATTACCCCCACCAATACTATCCAAACTTCTTCCTATTAAATGTCCACCTCCAATACTATCAAAGCTTCCTCTTAAATATTTATTGGTTCGGCCCATATTTTCTGTTAGTACGAAATTTTTGAAACATTTTAATTACTTGTACATTAACTTTGAAGCTATTTACAATGCGAATTCTGTTTATTAACGTAATTTTATTTATATACAAAAAGATTTATACAAATTTTTTGTTATTTACTCACCATAAGCCGCATTTTGTGGGAAGTTGTAACGGAAGCTCTAAAAAAAAGAAAAAATTGAGATTAAAGACGTTCTTTTAACTCAATTCCGGATCGAATTAACCACTACAAATCGTTTCCGGTGTTTACCCGCCGGAAGTAATTAACCGCGTTCGATTTAAAAGCGATATCCGACACTTGACTCGCACCAGTTTGAAATAACTCGATTAACACCGCCGTGTTTACTCGTTGACCACGTCTTCGCCTTCGCGCGTTTTCTTTTCGAGTTTATTTAACCGTTTTATTCTTGTAATGAACGAAAAAAACTCGAGTTACTTTTTGTTTGGTTTTTTTGTAAATCCCGCTTTGTAATTTTTTTTAATCGATAGATAGGGACGAAATTAAAAACGAATTATTGTGATCCTTTATGCGGCGTGTATCATCCGGTTTTTAATTGAAAACGTCAATTGAGGGTTTATTGCGGATCATTTCTGATAAAAACCGAATCGAATATTAATTTAAGAATTAATTTGTTTGAAAATGAACGCACGTTTTCTTGTTATTAGCTTAAAATAACAAAGAGCCCGTCGTGCATAATTTCTTAACTCGTGTTATTATTACCAGCGACTAAGTTTCATGGGATAACAATTAAAGTTTCCTTTTGAGTAACGCAAAGTTAATATACTCGAATTTTAATCGAACTTTTTGAAATTACTCTTTGTAATAAAGAATTTCGAATTTCCTGTTAATCTAATAACCAGGGCACGGAACTTTTGTAACAAAACGATACGATTTCCCCCCTCCACTCGTTCTCAGAAAATCTTGGTTAAAAGAACAGCATACTATTCAGTGGGAAATTAAAATTTCAAATTTTTCCGTTTTTATACATAATTATACTTAGATGCTTAATTAATAGAGATGTAAAAATTTTTTATTAAGATAATTGATTCAAAATCGAAATTGAAACAAATTTTATTTAAAACATTTTTTAATAAAAACAATAATTATTGAGATAATTAATTTTGATGGCATACTATTCAGAGGGAAATTAAAATTTAAAGTTAGCAAAAAATTGTATTAACAAACACTGTTCCTGAAGTAATTCTAAACAAATTTTGTTAACAACATTTTTTGATTAAATCAACAATAAGGATATAACCTCAAAAATATTAATTTTTGTAGCATACTGTTCAGTGGGAAATTAAAATTTCAAGTTAGAAAAAAATTGTGTTAACAAAAATTGTTCCTGAAACAATTCTAAACAAACTTTGTCAACAATTTTTTTTGATTTAATCAATAATTAAGGAGATAACCTCAAAATAATAATTTTTCCGTTTTTATACATAATTATACTTAGATGCTTAATTAATAGAGATGTAAAAATTTTTTATTAAGATAATTGATTCAAAATCGAAATTGAAACAAATTTTATTTAAAACATTTTTTGATAAAAACAATAATTATTGAGATAATTAATTTTGATAGCATACTATTCAGAGGGAAATTAAAATTTCAAGTTAGCAAAAAATTGTATTAACAAACACTGTTCCTGAAGTAATTCTAAACAAATTTTGTTAACAACATTTTTTGATTAAATCAACAATAAGGATATAACCTCAAAAATATTAATTTTTGTAGCATACTGTTCAGTGGGAAATTAAAATTTCAAGTTAGAAAAAAATTGTGTTAACAAAAATTGTTCCTGAAACAATTCTAAACAAACTTTGTCAACAATTTTTTTTGATTTAATCAATAATTAAGGAGATAACCTCAAAATAATAATTTTTCCGTTTTTATACATAATTATACTTAGATGCTTAATTAATAGAGATGTAAAAATTTTTTATTAAGATAATTGATTCAAAATCGAAATTGAAACAAATTTTATTTAAAACATTTTTTGATAAAAACAATAATTATTGAGATAATTAATTTTGATAGCATACTATTCAGAGGGAAATTAAAATTTCAAGTTAGCAAAAAATTGTATTAACAAACACTGTTCCTGAAGTAATTCTAAACAAATTTTGTTAACAACATTTTTTGATTAAATCAACAATAAGGATATAACCTCAAAAATATTAATTTTTGTAGCATACTGTTCAGTGGGAAATTAAAATTTCAAGTTAGAAAAAAATTGTGTTAACAAAAATTGTTCCTGAAACAATTCTAAACAAACTTTGTCAACAATTTTTTTTGATTTAATCAATAATTAAGGAGATAACCTCAAAATAATAATTTTTCCGTTTTTATACATAATTATACTTAGATGCTTAATTAATAGAGATGTAAAAAAAATTTATTAAGATAATTGATTCAAAATCGAAATTGAAACAAATTTTATTTAAAACATTTTTTAATAAAAACAATAATTGTTGAGATAATTAATTTTGATAGCGTACTATTCAGAGGGAAATTAAAATTTCAAGTTTTTCAAGTAATTCTAAACAAATTTTGTTAACAACATTTTTTGATTTGATCAATAATTAAGAACATAATCTCAAAAAAATTTTTATATATATATTTTTATATATTCTTTTATTGAGAAAATCGTTTTAGAAATTAACGCACGTTTTCTTGTTATTAGCTTAAAATAACAAAGAGCCCGTCATCGTAGTAGCGAAGTTGCACTAATGACGTTATGGTTAATTTAAATAAGCGATGTCGTGCATAATTTCTTAACGCGTGTTATTATTACCAGCGACTAAGTTTCATGGGATAACAATTAAAGTTTCCTTTTGAGCAACGTAAAGTTAATATACTCGAATTTTAATCGAACTTTTTGAAATTACTCTTTGTAATAAAGAATTTCGAATTTCCTGTTAATCTAATAACTCGTACATAATAAAATACCAATTCAATATGGCACGCAATATGAATCTACGGCATCCAATAATAATTATTATTTTTAGATTCGGCGAATTCTGTTTATATTAACAAAATAGCAATTGTGTTATTTTATCGGAAAATACCTCTGATAAGAATGTTTGCGCTTAAAAGTTTATTAAAAATTTCCATAATAATTTTTTCTTTTCTAGGAATAAAGAACTCCCTGGTTACTTTTATGAAGAGTTTTGAATACATTTCGCATTCGCAAAGCTTCCCAAGAAAATTATTACATCCACAATCAAGTTATTAAGGCGAAGAAACTTTATTTAACTCTTATAGTAATGGATTTAGAGCTTTAATTAAGCTTACATATCAATTTATTTATGAAACGTCACATTGACAGGTATTAATGTCAAATTTTTTTTAGGTTATCCTTTAGCATTAACAAAGATCTTCATAAAATTGATATTATTTTTTCGATTTCCAATAATATTTTGAATAACTAGAAAGTTGAGGTTAAATATTATTTTATTTAAATTATTTGTTTATAAATATAAAACCAAAAACGAATTATTTTTGAAATTGGAAACTTCAAACGTCACTTTGTTCTCAAAACATGGTAATATAACGATAAAAAATGTATAAAAAATATGGATATTTCGAACTTTATACGAAAAAAGTAAACTTTTGAGATTCCCTTAATCATTTTAAATAATTAAGTAATAATTTTAGATGTCATTCCGACTTATGCAAATTATGAAGAAACGTTATGACATGACATTTAGAAGAAATTAATAAATAAATTTGAATACAACTTGGTTTGGAGGAAAAGTAAGAAACGAATTACTTAATAAGAGGTAAGATTTTATTATTTTTTTAAAAGAAAGTTAGGCAACTTAATATACTTAGTTATTCGATTTCCCCCCTCCACTCGTTCTCAAAAAATCTTGGTTAAAAGAACAGCATACTGTTCAGTGGGAAATTAAAATTTCAAGTTAAAAAAAAATTGTGTTAACAAAAATTGTTCCTGAAACAATTCCAAACAAACTTTGTCAACAATTTTTTTTGATTTAATCAATAATTAAGGAGATAACCTCAAAATAATAATTTTTCCGTTTTTATACATAATTATACTTAGATGCTTAATTAATAGAGATGTAAAAAATTTTTATTAAGATAATTGATTCAAAATCGAAATTGAAACAAATTTTATTTAAAACATTTTTTAATAAAAACAATAATTGTTGAGATAATTAATTTTGATAGCATACTATTCAGAGGGAAATTAAAATTTCAAGTTAGCAAAAAATTGTATTAACAAACACTGTTCCTGAAGTAATTCTAAACAAATTTTGTTAACAAAATTTTTTGATTTGATCAATAATTAAATCGTATCCTTTTGTTACAAAAGTTCCGTGCCCTAACTATGACATAGAAAAGTTTTTTTTACTTAAAAAAGCAAAGTTTACTTACTTTTGGATACCCATCAGACCCAGGATAAAAAACAAAGGCCAACCCAACCGCAAAGATAATCTTCCACATATTCAAAATCTTTGCTTTTTTCTTCTTTTCGTAGTCAACCACCAATTGAGTTGATAATAAAGAGTCGATTGTTGGAAATGCGAAAACTTTTACGTGGTCCCGGTTAGGAAACAAGCCTTTTATACCTGCATACAGGTGGGTTTCCCCCCGCGCGAGGGGAGAACAAATTTTAGGTGGAGCTTTATCGTGTGGGGAGTCGAGAGCAAAAATAAGGTGGGGGAAAAAGCTCGGTCATCGTCACAGCTTCCGTTTATATCTATCCCCCTACGCGATACCCTAATTAATTATTTCTTCATTGAGGAGAACGCAATATCATCCAGTAATAAAAGTCAAAACAACGTTCGGTTTTTTTCGTTACTTTTCGCGAAGGGTTTTATTGCTTAATTTGATAATGCTACAAATTGGTGTATAAATCAACCGAGTAGAAGAAATAATAACAAAATGTATTGCGAAACATGACGTTAAAAATTAATATTGATACAAAAATATTTATTTATTCGATATAATAACATTGTGGGATGTGCGGGGAATATTAAAATTAATGATTTCGTCGAAATTTTTAACGAAACTCAATATTTACATACTTTTTTTGAAATCAAAAAGAAACGCGTGCTTTCAAAGTAATTCATTACTTTTATTAGCAAATAGCGAAATCGAATCAAAAATAAATTTACCTTTATATTCCGAAATTATACGTAATTTATTAAAACGTCAAATGTCACTTTGACGTTTCTAACTGTCACTTTATAAATTGAACCATTTTGGATTATTTTAAATAAATTGAGATGAAATGGAATATTTCCACAAACGTTTCTTAATTTAGCCTTTAATTTACATTTAAATTGAATATAAACAAATTTTTTTTTTATGTAAAGTTTCTTTGTGTCTTTACAAAGGTGAATATGCCAAAGTGAGTAACGAAAATAAATTAATTTTGTTGAAATTAAATCATAAATCGTTTCGACATGATATTTTCGCCTCAATATTTTTCACTCTATGAGTTTTATACGAAAATTTTCGGGGGTTTACGATGATGTGGATACAATACAGGTTGAGAAAGTTTTTTTATCGCCACCCTAAAGTTATTATTAGGGCACGGAACTTTTGTAACAAAAGAAAATTTCATACAAAAGTTGTTCTAAATTAAATTCTAAAACGATTTTCTCAATAAAAGAATATATAAAAATATATATATAAAAATTTTTTTGAGATTATTGATCAAATCAAATAATTTTGTTAACAAAATTTGTTTAGAATTACTTCAGGAACAGTGTTTGTTAATAAAATTTTTTGCTAACTTGAAATTTTAATTTCCCTCTGAATAGTATGCTATCAAAATTAATTATCTCAACAATTATTGTTTTTATTAAAAAATGTTTTAAATAAAATTTGTTTCAATTTCGATTTTGAATCAATTATCTTAATAAAAAATTTTTACATCTCTATTAATTAAGCATCTAAGTATAATTATGTATAAAAACGGAAAAATTATTATTTTGAGGTTATCTCCTTAATTATTGATTAAATCAAAAAAAATTGTTGACAAAGTTTGTTTAGAATTGTTTCAGGAACAATTTTTGTTAACACAATTTTTTTCTAACTTGAAATTTTAATTTCCCACTGAATAGTATGCTACAAAAATTAATATTTTTGAGGTTATATCCTTATTGTTGATTTAATCAAAAAATGTTGTTAACAAAATTTGTTTAGAATTACTTCAGGAACAGTGTTTGTTAATACAATTTTTTGCTAACTTGAAATTTTAATTTCCCTCTGAATAGTATGCTATCAAAATTAATTATCTCAATAATTATTGTTTTTATCAAAAAATGTTTTAAATAAAATTTGTTTCAATTTCGATTTTGAATCAATTATCTTAATAAAAAATTTTTACATCTCTATTAATTAAGCATCTAAGTATAATTATGTATAAAAACGGAAAAATTATTATTTTGAGGTTATCTCCTTAATTATTGATTAAATCAAAAAAAATTGTTGACAAAGTTTGTTTAGAATTGTTTCAGGAACAATTTTTGTTAACACAATTTTTTTCTAACTTGAAATTTTAATTTCCCACTGAATAGTATGCTACAAAAATTAATATTTTTGAGGTTATATCCTTATTGTTGATTTAATCAAAAAATGTTGTTAACAAAATTTGTTTAGAATTACTTCAGGAACAGTGTTTGTTAATACAATTTTTTGCTAACTTGAAATTTTAATTTCCCTCTGAATAGTATGCTATCAAAATTAATTATCTCAATAATTATTGTTTTTATCAAAAAATGTTTTAAATAAAATTTGTTTCAATTTCGATTTTGAATCAATTATCTTAATAAAAAATTTTTACATCTCTATTAATTAAGCATCTAAGTATAATTATGTATAAAAACGGAAAAATTATTATTTTGAGGTTATCTCCTTAATTATTGATTAAATCAAAAAAAATTGTTGACAAAGTTTGTTTAGAATTGTTTCAGGAACAATTTTTGTTAACACAATTTTTTTCTAACTTGAAATTTTAATTTCCCACTGAATAGTATGCTACAAAAATTAATATTTTTGAGGTTATATCCTTATTGTTGATTTAATCAAAAAATGTTGTTAACAAAATTTGTTTAGAATTACTTCAGGAACAGTGTTTGTTAATACAATTTTTTGCTAACTTGAAATTTTAATTTCCCTCTGAATAGTATGCTATCAAAATTAATTATCTCAATAATTATTGTTTTTATCAAAAAATGTTTTAAATAAAATTTGTTTCAATTTCGATTTTGAATCAATTATCTTAATAAAAAATTTTTACATCTCTATTAATTAAGCATCTAAGTATAATTATGTATAAAAACGGAAAAATTATTATTTTGAGGTTATCTCCTTAATTATTGATTAAATCAAAAAAAATTGTTGACAAAGTTTGTTTAGAATTGTTTCAGGAACAATTTTTGTTAACACAATTTTTTTCTAACTTGAAATTTTAATTTCCCACTGAATAGTATGCTACAAAAATTAATATTTTTGAGGTTATATCCTTATTGTTGATTTAATCAAAAAATGTTGTTAACAAAATTTGTTTAGAATTACTTCAGGAACAGTGTTTGTTAATACAATTTTTTGCTAACTTGAAATTTTAATTTCCCTCTGAATAGTATGCTATCAAAATTAATTATCTCAACAATTATTGTTTTTATTAAAAAATGTTTTAAATAAAATTTGTTTCAATTTCGATTTTGAATCAATTATCTTAATAAAACATTTTTACATCTCTATTAATTAAGCATTTAAGTATAATTATGTATAAAAACGGAAAAATTATTATTTTGAGGCTATCTCATTAATTATTGATTAAATCAAAAAAATGTTGACAGAGTTTGTTTAGAATTGTTTCAGGAACAATTTTTGTTAACACAATTTTTTTTTAACTTGAAATTTTAATTTCCCACTGAACAGTATGCTGTTCTTTTAACCAAGATTTTCTGAGAACGAGTGGAGGGGGGAAATCGTATCGTTTTGTTACAAAATCCTGGTTATTATAACTAAAAAATTCTTTAATAAATCTCATTTTGTTTCATTTTATTATAAAAAATGATTTGGCAAAGAAAAAAGGATAATTTTGTTAGTGCATAAATTTGGGTTCTTTTTTTTTGTCTCTTTCGTCACATATTTCATTAATTAATATGGATGGGGGGTTACGTTATTAAAATAATTAAATATTTGCTCGCAACAAATAGATATACGAGTGGTGTGGATTTTGCAGACAGTGCTTGCGTTTAATGAACAACATCTGTCGTCGCTCCCGATTTTATGTATCAGATAATGTTTAATTATTAAGTAAACATGTCAACAAATCACGCAAAAATGGTTTCAAAAATATTTACTTGCAATATTTTTAAACAAATCAAAAAAATAAAGTTTGTTTATTTAAGTTGGTATTACCCAAAGTTGGTATTTCTCTAATTTCTAATAACATTCTCATCAACTAGAACCAAATAATTGAGATTAAGAAATTTTCCGAAAAAATAATCAATATAGAATGTGGAAAATTAATAATGCTTTAAAATGAATATAAACATCATAGGGTTATTTTCAAAAATAAACGAGATATGGTTGTTTTTAGGTCAACTTCCGGTTTGCAACTTTTTATTTTTGATGATAACATAGTCGTGTTTGGTATCATTTTAAAGGATTTTCAATGATTTTCATGAATTTTCAATTAAAATTAATTAAAATCAACGACTTTATGATTTATGACAATTTTAACCGGAAGTTGTAAATCGGAAATTATTAAAATTAATCCAAGGTCTTATTCCTTTATGTCGGTAGGTGTCAGGACACAATATATGTTCAGTAATCTCTAACTCATCGTTGCGAAGTCGACAACTTTAATTCTCAGGTTGTCCAATATGGAAGAGGTGGTATTCTAGGGACATTTGGCCTGAGAGTGACGGAATTATCATACTCTTCGCTTGTCTGTGACATGGAAGTTCTTTCTAGTGTAAGACTAGCTTTGAGGCCTCCCAACTATAGATCACCTCTTTTAAGTGGTAGTACAAGGAGTAGTTTCCGAGATACAGTACTTTGCACGCTTATTTGGCCACCCTGTACATATTTCATATATGCGAGAAAGTAAAAACAAGTCAACCCAAACCTGAACGAACATAACGTCAAATAAATATTAAATAGTGATAATCTTTCTTCCATGTAATTAAAGTTTTTTTTTGAGTAATTTCACGTAAATCTTTATTAAAAACGAAAATAACTTAAAAATAAAATATTATAAACAAAAATTGAGGTTATGTAATTACTACCAACGTAAATCTAAAAAGAAAATTAAAATTACTCCCAATTTATTTATTAATTTATTTTATTCAAACCTTTTTTTTTAATATTATTAAGGATAATAATTAATAAACGATAAATGTAATGTTTAAACTCAAAATAAACATTTATTTAAAAAAAAAATTATATATTAGCTAACTTCACATCAAATGCTGATAAAATTTTTAAAGTTTTAAAATTGCCACTATTATTTAGCAATATTATTTATATCTTTTAGTATAAAATAAAGATATAAAAAATTAATCGAAAATTGTTTTAAACAATTAAATTAATGTTGAAAAGTTCAAATTAATTTCGGAAATATCCGAACGTATCCGACCGAAAACGAGAATACGGGACCTGTCAATTTTTGTTTATTGCTGATGTGTGTCGAGCATACAAAACTCTCCGCCGAATATCTTCCGTTTAGAATGCTATTTAATTGCTAGCATTTACTTTCCTAACTCTTTCCGGTGAAAATGAGTAAAATCGCTAACGGTAAGTGAACATCTCGACCCTTAACCTTTTCACTCAATGTGTGTGTGTGAGTCTAAGTGAAGAAAAAGTTTTCTATTAATTTTTATTAAAATTGTAGTTGCAGGTATGGATAGGAGTAAAGATTGGCAGCTTGAACTCCTCATGGAGAAGTTGCGCTCAAAAAGTTCTCAATATAAAACATTACCCGAGATGTCCAAGTCGGTTCGGATGACTATCCTTGTAGGTTATGTTTGATTTAAAAAAAAATCGTTTTAAAATTTATTTCTTGATTTTAGGATACTCGGTTTGCATTGGATAGTGTTGATAAGAGTCAACATCAAAAATGTTTAGATACATTACAGCATTCGATTAAGGTCACATCTTTACAAAGTATGGTTGAAAGATTAGAAAGTTTAACCAGACAATTAGGGTGAGTTTAAATATAAATACAAAGCATTAAAATCTAATTTGATTTAAAAAATCGTAGATTAAAGTTTGTGCAAGGTCCGAAAGGGGTCGAACTATTTATATCTTCCGATATGTTCTACTTGGAAATAATTTTAGACCAAACTGGAGCCGTTTTGGACGTTAAAGTTCATCATGATGGTAAATCCGAGCAACAAAGCTGCAAAGAACTCGTCAATTGTTTATCAAAAGGGGATTTCTCCGATTTCACTGCCCAATTAGAAGGGTTCGCCTCTATTTATCAATTAAACGCTGAGAAAAAGATTAAATCCAAGGCGTTTACTGCCTTGCAATCATTAGAAACCGATTTAAGTACATTATCACAACTACAAATGTTTATGAAGGAACCTTTTAATCTTTTACATAAATCTCCAGTGGGGATTTTAGAGAAACGAAGAGGAGGACACCCGATGAAACTTACTTATTTCGTTTCACCCTATGATTTAATTAATTTGGATAAATTTGATGTTGATCCCATGACGATTGAGACGGTTACATTAAAAAAATTAGGTTACAGCGTAACCGTTTGTATGGAAGGATCTGCCGCGCATAAATTACAAACGACCACGTTAATTACCGTTAATAAAAATCATAATGGTAAAAACACCCCATCGTATGCGCTTCTTTCAAATAATAACAGCGCGGTTATTCCTGCATGCTTCGTACTAAAATTAAATAAACCCATGCCGATTTGCGCTACTTTAATAAGACAAATCTATCAAATTACCGAATTAGAATGTGCCGATTTAACCAATACTCAACCGTTACTTGGATTAATTACCCTTCATTCTAGTAATGGCAAAATGGACACTGCATCAAATAAAGGGTTATTTGTGGTACTTATTTATATTTTAATATGATATTTGAGATTAATATTTTGATTTGTAGACATTACCAGATCAAAGTCATTGTTATTTCATGACTGAAAATCGTACGTTGGATGGATTATTAATTAATAGCATTCCTTTCACTCATCCAGGACATGTTGCGCAAATTTTGGTTATTTTACGACAGCAGGCTCTGTTTAATACCATTATTTCAAGCTGTGTGAGACCAAATAGTAAGGAAGGTATGTTTAGAAATTAGAATTAATAATGCTTTAAAATGAATATAAACATCATAGGGTTATTTTCAAAAATAAACGAGATATGGTTGTTTTTAGGTCAACTTCCGGTTTGCAACTTTTTATTTTTGATGATAACATAGTCGTGTTTGGTATCATTTTAAAGGATTTTCAATGATCTTCATGAATTTTCAATTAAAATTAATTAAAATCAACGACTTTATGATTTATGACAATTTTAACCGGAAGTTGTAAATCGGAAATTATTAAAATTAAGTAATTTTAAAAAAATAATCAATTTAGAATGTGGGAAATTAAAAATGCTTTAAAATGAATATAAACATCATGGGGTTATTTTCAAAAATAAACGAGATATGGTTGTTTTTAGGTCAACTTCCGGTTTGCAACTTTTTATTTTTGATGATAACATAGTCGTGTTTGGTATCATTTTAAAGGATTTTCAATGATCTTCATGAATTTTCAATTAAAATTAATTAAAATCAACGACTTTATGATTTATGACAATTTTAACCGGAAGTTGTAAATCGGAAATTATTAAAATTAAGTAATTTTAAAAAAATAATCAATTTAGAATGTGGGAAATTAAAAATGCTTTAAAATGAATATAAACATCATGGGGTTATTTTCAAAAATAAACGAGATATGGTTGTTTTTAGGTCAACTTCCGGTTTGCAACTTTTTATTTTTGATGATAACATAGTCGTGTTTGGTATCATTTTAAAGGATTTTCAATGATCTTCATGAATTTTCAATTAAAATTAATTAAAATCAACGACTTTATGATTTATGACAATTTTAACCGGAAGTTGTAAATCGGAAATTATTAAAATTAAGTAATTTTAAAAAAATAATCAATTTAGAATGTGGGAAATTAAAAATGCTTTAAAATGAATATAAACATCATGGGGTTATTTTCAAAAATAAACGAGATATGGTTGTTTTTAGGTCAACTTCCGGTTTGCAACTTTTTATTTTTGATGATAACATAGTCGTGTTTGGTATCATTTTAAAGGATTTTCAATGATCTTCATGAATTTTCAATTAAAATTAATTAAAATCAACGACTTTATGATTTATGACAATTTTAACCGGAAGTTGTAAATCGGAAATTATTAAAATTAAGTAATTTTAAAAAAATAATCAATTTAGAATGTGGGAAATTAAAAATGCTTTAAAATGAATATAAACATCATGGGGTTATTTTCAAAAATAAACGAGATATGGTTGTTTTTAGGTCAACTTCCGGTTTGCAACTTTTTATTTTTGATGATAACATAGTCGTGTTTGGTATCATTTTAAAGGATTTTCAATGATCTTCATGAATTTTCAATTAAAATTAATTAAAATCAACGACTTTATGATTTATGACAATTTTAACCGGAAGTTGTAAATCGGAAATTATTAAAATTAAGTAATTTTAAAAAAATAATCAATTTAGAATGTGAGAAATTAAAAATGCTTTAAAATGAATATAAACATCATGGGGTTATTTTCAAAAATAAACGAGATATGGTTGTTTTTAGGTCAACTTCCGGTTTGCAACTTTTTATTTTTGATGATAACATAGTCGTGTTTGGTATCATTTTAAAGGATTTTCAATGATCTTCATGAATTTTCAATTAAAATTAATTAAAATCAACGACTTTATGATTTATGACAATTTTAACCGGAAGTTGTAAACCGGAAATTATTAAAATGAAGTAATTTTAAAAAAATAATCAGTTTAGATTGTAAGAAATTAAAAATGCTTTAAAATGAATATAAACATCATGGGGTTATTTTCAAAAATAAACGAGATATGGTTGTTTTTAGGTCAACTTCCGGTTTGCAACTTTTTATTTTTGATGATAACATAGTCGTGTTTGGTATCATTTTAAAGGGTTTTTAATGATCTTCATGAATTTTCAATTAAAATTAATTAAAATCAACGACTTTATGATTTATGACAATTTTAACCGGAAGTTGTAAACCGGAAATTATTAAAATGAAGTAATTTTAAAAAAATAATTAGTTTAGATTGTAAGAAATTAAAAATGCTTTAAAATGAATATAAACATCATGGGGTTATTTTCAAAAATAAACGAGATATGGTTGTTTTTAGGTCAACTTCCGGTTTGCAACTTTTTATTTTTGATGATAACATAGTCGTGTTTGGTATCATTTTAAAGGATTTTCAATGATCTTCATGAATTTTCAATTAAAATTAATTAAAATCAACGACTTTATGATTTATGACAATTTTAACCGGAAGTTGTAAACCGGAAATTATTAAAATTAAGTAATTTTTAAAAAATAATCAATTTAGAATGTGGGAAATTAAAAATGCTTTAAAATGAATATAAACATCATGGGGTTATTTTCAAAAATAAACGAGATATGATTGCTTTTAGGTCAACTTCCGGTTTGCAACTTTTTATTTTTGATGATAACATAGTCGTGTTTGGTATCATTTTAAAGGGTTTTTAATGATCTTGATGAATTTTCAATCAAAATTATTTAATATCAACGATTTTATGATTAATAACAATTTTAACCGGAAGTTGTAAACGGGAAATTATTAAAATGAAGTAATTTTTAAAAAATAATCAGTTTAGATTGTAAGAAATTAAAAATGCTTTAAAATGAATATAAACATCATAGGGTTATTTCCAAAAATAAACGAGATATGATTGTTTTTAGGTCAACTTCCGGTTTGCAACTCTTTATTTTTGCTGATAACTTAGTCGTGTTTGGTATCATTTTAAAGGATTTTCAATGATTTTCATGAATTTTCAATTAAAATTAATTAAAATCAACGGCTTTATGATTTATGGCAATTTTAACCGGAAGTTGTAAATCGGAAATTATTAAAATTAAGTAGTTTTAAAAAAATAATCAGTTTAGATTGTAAGAAATTAAAAATGCTTTAAAATGAATATAAACATCATGGGGTTATTTTCAAAAATAAACGAGATATGGTTGTTTTTAGGTCAACTTCCGGTTTGCAACTTTTTGTTTTTGATGATAACATAGTCGTGTTTGGTATCATTTTAAAGGATTTTTAATGCTCTTTAAGGATTTTTTATTAATTTTTAAAAAAATCTATTTTTAGATCTTGAAGAAATGATAATGTTTGAAATAAGCGCGTTATCTTGGACACAAATCTCAATATCGCTCGAGCACCCAATAGAAGAAAGCATGGCAACGGCCGAAATAGATTTATCGGACATCTCCATGCTTTCTTGCCGAATTCATAGCCCAGGGTCGCCTCCCCCAATAAACGCACCGGATGTCATCACCGAAATGGCAACGAAACACTTAAACAAAAGCTTCTCAATCCCGGTTACGATGCGTTCCGTAATAAGGTTATGGGAGAAACAATTATCGCGCAAATCTCACTTTAATGGGCACGAAAATTTTAATTTACCCCTCGGTTCTGGCGATCCGGGGGGAAGAGGCAATCATCAAGGCGGGGGTTTAGCCGATTTTAGTAATTTAGAATCGAAAATGAAGCAAGAGAGTTCTCACTCGAGTGGGATTAATTTACCAATGTTGTCACATCACAACCAAGCCGGGATGTTTTTAAACGAAACTTTAATGAGTAGCGATAATTTTTCGAATTTTTCCACTTCAAACGACGGGAGCGCCATGTTAACGAACGTCGAATTAACCAACATTTTATCGGGGGGAAACGACAAGCCGAAACGGTTGAAACGAAAAGATGATTGGAAATCATCAAAAAGAAAAGGCGAGGATGACTTATTAGACGCGTCCAGTTGTGATTCAACCTCAAGAAGTACCCCTTTGTCGCAAGAAACTTGTTCGGAAATTCCTACGCCTAATTCAGCGTTGGGGTTTCATTCGGATTTTGAAAGTTTGGACCCATCGGAATTGATTAGTGATAAGAGTGAATATGATAATGTTGAGGATATTGACGTGGAGGAGATTTTATTGGGGAATTCGAAGTTTCGGAAAAAATCGCCTACTTTAGAGTTAGAAAGTAAAATATCGCCCAGTGTTAGTATCACCCCGATATCGTCTTCGAGTTTTAGTCAAAATTTAATTTCGATGTCAACGAATTCCTCGATAACGATCACCCCGATTCCTATGAAAACCGATGAAAGAAATCGGAGCGATAAGAAAAGTAGCAAAACAAGATCTGAGGATAAAAATAGGTTGGATAAAAAGAGGAAACGGAAACGCGAGGAGAGTCCGATGGGGCCACCCGAAAAGATTCCTCTAAAAGAAGGTAATAAATTAATAATTCGGTTATTAGGAAATATGTTTTATCGCCAACTGGCAGCAAAAACATACTTTTTGTAATTCGCGACGCGTAATGAAAGCTATAACAGTACTCAAACGGGTGCTGTAATGAGACTCCTTACAGCATCCGATGCTGTAATGAGATTTTAGTAACATTTTATGGAACTAGTTCATGTTGGTGACATTGGGTCATTAATTTTCCTAGTTGTCAATGTAACAGTGTTTGTTTATGGATGTTTAAATACGGTCTTAGCATCGAATCACACAATGATGACTAGGGCACGGAACTTTTGTAACAAAAGGATACGATTTCCCCCCTCCACTCGTTCTTAGCAGAAAATTTTATACAAAAGTTGTTCTAAATTAAATTCTAAAACGATTTTCTCAATAAAAGAATATATAAAAATATATATATAAAATTTTTTTTTGAGATTATTGATCAAATCAAAAAATGT